TGTAGGGATGAACCTCTAATTATTAGATATTTATTTAAGTATGAATAGATATTTTTGAGGTTATAGAAAGGTGATTTGAGGCTTCAGGATAATTCTAAAATTTTTAATTTATTTTTGGACGAATTTTTAGAATATAGAAGGATGAAATTGTGATACTCGAAGTGATTTGAGGCTTAAAAATAGTTTATTAGGGTACGAAAATTTTAGAAAAGAATTTGGGAAGTTAAATGAGGCATAAATCTTAAATTAGTGTTAATATGGATTATAGATCTAAGACTTTCTAACTCTTTAAATTAGAGTTATTTATTTTAATATAAAATTAATATATAGTATTGTGAAATAATTATGTAGATTATATTGATAAAGATAGTGGTGAAAAAGGAGTTGTGAAGGGGAACTTGTTATTCAAGACACAAGGTAACCATTATTAATGTGTTGTGATGGGTGTGTTTGTGAATGGTTATGTGTTGTTTTATTGTTTGAAAAAATTATGAATTATTGAAATAAATACTGTTATATACTTCTGTGAAATCATTGCCAAGTGGGTTAAAAATTTATTTTTGTTTATCATGATGAGATATTATTGTTCGGATATATTTCTGTTTGGATATTTGAATGATGCATGACTTGTTAGGGTATTTTAATGTATGGTGTTAATGGGAATTTCTATTCGGTTAATTATTACCACGTGGTAAGCCTCATTGGACCCAATGAGTGGCGTGTCGCTTGGTCCAACTCACCTTTGGCCAGGTGATTTGGCATTCGAGCATGGTGAAAGAAGGATATAAGGTGTAGTCATGCAATTAAATACTTGTTCGGTTTGTTTGAAAATATTGTTCGGTTAAATGTTTTGTGTGCCCACTTGGCAATCGCATGATTAGTTACATCCGCATGCATCATTACATATTAATTTTTGGTTACTGGGACTTTTAAGTCTCATGCCCCGTGGTTAATATTTTTACAGGAGCGAGTCCGGCCGAGAAAGCACTAGAGATGTAATTATAGTGTATGAGACACCATCTTTTATGTTGCCTCTTATTTGGATTATACAATGTATTTTGTGCCAACTTAGGACATATCTTCTTTGTGAAGCATGTGAACTTTAATCCTTTTTATTAAAAGTATTTATTTGACCAAGAGGATTATGTTTGTCCCTCTTGATTCATGACTTGATTTAAATATCATGTCATGAGGATCCTGTCTGTTCCTCATGGTTCTAATTGCTTTTTTGAGATATTTTAAGACTTGTGGTATATTGTCTTGGATGTACCATGGTAGAAATTTTTCTACCATGATAAGGGTATGATAAGGGTTCAATGAAAAAAAAAGAAAGTAAAAAAAAAAGATTTGTTGAATTAATAATTTGCGAAAAATCGGTTTGTAAATTTGAGGGTGTTACAATTTCTGCCATCAAAAGTGTGCTCAGGTCAACAAGTGATTGATCCAAGAGAGTTTACGATTTCATGTCGTGGAGTATTGGAGGTTTGGTAGTTAGACGATCATGCTAGTGTAAAACTATATGTTTTATTGAGAAGAGATACACTTATCTCATAATTATGGTATGCTTTTTATTTCTATGGTTTTGATACTTTGTTATGGTTATTTGTGGTAATAAACATTTGATGAACTATATTGGTTACTGAGATATTTATTTCACCCCGTGGTTACATTTTACGGGTGAGGGCTCCGGTAGGGGCAAGGGAAAGGAAGGAGCGTCTGAAAAGTAAAGAGCATTGTAGTATAGCTCTTCCCTTTCTCCTTTTTGGTTTTGTAACAAATATTGTTACTAAATATTGCAAACTTAGGAATATGACATTACTTGGATGTTACTTGTGTGAATCTTGTGATAAGTATGTATATCTTGGTCTAAGGATGATGTTATGGAGTAAGTGTTTGCCTGGCCAAGTTGCTTACATGTGATATATGTCAAGTGTTTTGAATGCCAAAGTGACCAATTGATTTGTGTGTTGAATTTTATCCACCCTATTGTGTTATTGTCAATTGAGAATTTGATGGTCATTTTGAGCGTGATTACTCAATTGTGTGTTATGATTGAATTGTTATGTGGTGTATAGTTCATTTGAGATGATCAAGTTATCTTCGGGGCTAATAGCATTGTGTATTGTGAGTTGAACACCATAATATGTGTTTTGTTATGAAAACAAACCATTTTGAGTTTGGATGTCCATCTTTTAAACGAATGATTATTTGAGTATGAGACCGGTGTCATTAGCTAGAGGGCTCAAAGAGCTTCGTGTGGACACTTGAACAGCTCAAATTGAATGTCGGATGGCAAAACGGCATGCTCTAAAAGTTTAAATAAAAGTCATGATAAAAATCTGCTGTCTTAATAGCAGGTACGTGCCGCGGCGCAAGAGGCCCTCGAGGGATTTGTCCCTCTATGCCATCCGCCGCAGCAAACAGACTGGATAAGGACAAAGTGACTTGTTTTAGTTTGTTTTGTAGTGAATAGATTTTCATACTTTCGTATTTGCTTTTAACTGATTTTTAATCATAGTTTGAGCACAAAACAATATTCTAAAAGGGTTTTTCTTAGGATCCCAATGTTTTTAAACTAATTATCTTTAAACCCTTGAGTTGTGGTAACTTCTTCAGAGGATTTTATTTAATTCGAGTTATCACAATGATATGTGAGTGTTGTCCTGGTAATGTCAGATGGACATTACAGTTAGTGTGGACTAATAAATAAGCAAAAATACTAACGAAGTCGTCAGCTATGAGTAAAAATAAACACAACGTTATCAGAGTTGATGCAAAAATGATCAATCCATTAAATCCTTTAAATGTTGACTGTTTAGTTGATACGTAAGCAAAAACTGATCATTTTTTCACTAACATGGACAAAAAATATTCTCATATGAAATTCTCTGGAGATTAATCGATCATTATATGGATATCATGTGAGAAAATATCTTTTTGACCAAATATTAAATTAAATCACTAGTCTCTTTATAGCAGTGGTAAAAACCATTTGAAATTTTTAAACCTATCATAAATGAAATTATTTAAAGTTATGATAATATTCTTAAGGTAGGGCGGCGTAGGAGGTATGCTCAGTCTCGATTATTGATTATGTATAACCTATCTCACTATATTGAATCTTAGGTTTTGTAGATAAGAAAAATGAGTGGAGAGGGAGGGAGAAAGGAGCTGAAATATGCGGCAATATAAAAAAAATCATATGGTATGGATTTCAATAGATTGGTCACTATTGCACCTATTAAAGTAATATTATGGGTATTCATATAATGATCGATCAATATCCATAAAAATTTATTTGTGAATATTTTTTGTCTACATTAGTAGAAAAATAGTTAACTTCTGCTTAGGTGTCAGCTAAACGATCAACATTTAACAGATTTGATAGATTGGTCACTTTTGCACCGATTTTGATAATGTTATGAGTATTTTTACTCATGGCTGACAACTTTGTGAATATTTTTGATCCTTTATTAGTTCACGTTAACAATGATTGACGCGTGGCAACTATAATCAGCATTTAATAATAAAAATTAATGGTTTGATCATTTTTACATTTATTCATGTAATGTTATGGGTATTTTTATCCTTTTTCTCACTTTAGAATATTGATTGCTCCTGACTAACCATTTTGTGAGTATTTTTACCCTTTTATTCATTTTTCTTTAGAATGGAAATATTTTTTTAAAGATAGAGAAAACTAAAAGGAAAAAAAAAACCATGAAAGGAAAATGTCTTTTTCTTTTTCTTTTTTCCTTTAATTTTTTCTCTCTTATCTCTCTCTCTTCTTTTCCCCTCACTCTGAACATAGGTGTAATCTCTTTTAATATGCACCGTCCCTTTTCACAACATAATAAGTCTTTAAAGTAGCTGCATCAGACTAAGAAATATAATTAATAGTACATAGAAATATTGATTACATTATTAAATGTATTCGTAAAGCTTAACAAATGCTCCTTGAAATTGCTGAAGTAAATAAGAACATATTATTAAAACAAGCTGATAATGCATTTTTTTTAATAAGATTATTTTTATAAGAGTTAGTAATGCTGCTTTGAACTCCTGAAAGGATATATAAAATAAACTAAAAATTTTCACCTAAAAAGATTTGTAGTATTTTGAAAATGAGGGAGTATGATCTTTTATGTAAAAATTTTTCATTTCTTAATTAAAAATTTAGATGAGTTGAGCATGAGAGACTTGAAAAACTAAAATAGATTTGGATTTAATGATTATACATTGAGTATCTGTATTATTTAAACTATTAAAATTTAAATTAATTATTTAAAATTTATATTCTACTTAAGATTTATGAATAAATGAATTTATTTAAATTATTAATATGAATTTCAATGATTCAGATGATACAATCATTCAGTATTTACAATTACCGAATTCACATGATCACATCCGAGTAAAACAAGCCTTATTATACTCAAGGAGGAAAAAACCATCTACTTAACTACTCACCAATTAGCTATTATTAATTGCAAGTTTTTAAATGCTATGTTGCTGAGTATCAAATGGTTTTTACTCCCTTTGTTTAAAAATATAATACATTTTTTGAAGAGTTGAATGTTAAAAAATAAATGACATTTTTAATTTTTTGCAATATAATTATTATTTTTTTTAAAAGTATTCTTACTAATAATAATTTTATATTTATTGTAGGGTATTTAATAAAAATAAATATAAAAAAATAAATTTAATTTAAAAGTAAGTAATTATTTGATTGAGGGTGAGTTTTGAGTAAAAATATAATATATATTTTAACGAAGGGGTACCTTTTACTTACCTAACTATTAAATTTATTTAATACGACAAAGTTTTCTGTCGGCCTGCTGCGTTTTGACATTTTTCACCCCAAGACAACTGTCCACAGCTTAGCTGACACATACCTTTTTCTTCCCTTCCCCTTCCTGCAAGTTGATCACCTCCCATATGTCACACCCTCGCCTTCTTTCCCCTGCTCTGCCACCTTTATAAATGCCCACAATCACTTCTTGCTCAAGTCACTCCAAGCCATTCACTTCACAAACCACAGTCTCTCTCTAGCTTCTCTCTTCAGAACATGGCTTCCTCTGTTTCTTCTTCTTCAAGAATGCTTCTGCTTCCTCTGTTTCTTCTTCTGACTTTTCATACTGCTTTTGGTAACTTCAACCGAGACTTCCAGATTACATGGGGAGATAGTCGTGCAAAGATACTCAACAATGGAAATCTTCTCACTCTGTCCCTTGACAAAGCCTCTGGCTCTGGTTTCCAGTCCACAAATGAGTACTTGTTTGGCAAGATTGATATGCAGCTCAAGCTCGTCCCTGGTAACTCTGCTGGCACTGTCACTGCCTATTATGTAAGTCCAAACACGGCCTACGCAAACTTTCATTCGTCTCAACATCTTTTTTCTTCTGTTAACATTAACAAACTTGCTGACAGATGAATTTTTTGTTCTTGTGACAGCTATCTTCTAAAGGATCAACCTGGGACGAGATTGACTTTGAATTCCTAGGAAACCTAAGTGGAGACCCTTATATCCTTCACACCAATGTGTTTAGCCAAGGCAAGGGTAACAGAGAGCAACAATTCTATCTCTGTTTTGACCCAACTGCTGATTTTCACACCTATTCTGTCCTCTGGAATCCCCGACACATTGTGTGAGTTGCTATGATTTATATATATGTAGCAGACACGTAATATATAGAACAACGCAGTCTTTAGAATTTTTACTGACATGTTTTGTGTGTTGTTGTGTATCAGCTTCTCTGTGGATGGCACCCCAATCAGAGTGTTCAAGAATTTGGAATCGTTTGGTGTTCCGTTTCCAAAGAAGCAGCCAATGAGGATATACTCGAGTCTCTGGAATGCAGATGACTGGGCAACAAGAGGAGGACTAGTAAAGACGGATTGGTCCAAAGCTCCTTTCACTGCTTCTTACAGAAACTTCAATGCTAAGAATGCTTGTGTGTGGTCCAATGGAAGATCTTCTTGCTCCACAAGTTCCACTTCTTCTCCGTCTTCCTCAAATGCATGGCTGTCTCAAGAGTTGGATTCAACTAGCCAGCAGAGGCTTCGTTGGGTGCAGAAGAACTACATGATTTACAATTACTGTGCTGATAAGAAGAGATTCCCACAAGGTTTCCCACGGGAATGCACTCGCTCATAGACAAACATTTCATTCTCGGCCTAGCCTCCAACTCAAGTTTTCTTTTTTCTTGTTTTTACTTTTTTTTTTGAACTAGTTTAGTTTCGACGTGCACCGTAGTTCTTAGTTCTTACTATTCTTTTATACTACTTGTATATTTTCTGTGTGCTGCTTGTTCTTCACAATATGTAAAAATATATAATAAGAGTGGAGTTTTTTCCTATGTTGTGAAATCCTATATTCTCTCTCTTTTTAAATGAAAGTAAATATTAACTGACTCATAGTTTAAAAAGGTTAGATTAAATATAATACTTACGCCTAACATTAAAAAAATTAGACTAAAATATAATTATAATTAATATTTAATATATGAAGAAATTGAGTTTGTCTTGTGAAAATGAACTCTGAATTCTAATTTTATCAGAGGAAACCTAAAAAGAGTTTGTCTTGTGAAAATGAACTCTGAATTCTAATTTTATCAGAGGAAACCTAAAAATGTGATAATGTTTTTTAAATTTCATATTTTACTGATAAAAAAATAAAGCAGGTGAAAGTTTTTCTTATAATTAATAAATAGAGGGAGTAAAGTGAAAATTAGCTGGCCATTAAATTATATAACCGAGTATTTAAAAATAATAATACAATGGACTAGGAGGTCAACCTCTAGCTTAGACGAATGACGACGAACTTCGATCTCGAGATGATCCAGAAGTCGACAGTTCAGATTCAAACCCTCTTGACGAGTATCGGTCAAATTGTCTGAAGAAATGGATAAGGGCTCTGTAAAGTAGTAGAAAGTTGAAAAGTTATTTGTCACGTGTTGATGGGAAACCCAAGTCTGCGCTAAGTATACAGTAGACACTTCTTAATGTTAACACTCACAAAAGAAACCTTTCGAGTTTTACTTTTTTTGATGTCGCTCGCTCACCAATCAAATTAAAGCAGCCCATTTTGAATGGCATGTTTTGCAAATCGAAAACTCATTTATCTAACTATAACCATATTTGTATGTGAAGATAAAAAAATATTGGAATTATATATGGCACTAAATTTTATTGAAAGATTTCAAGACTTAATTTTTAGCTAAGAAACCCGGAATTATATATCTTGCAATTTTGGTGCAGAATCAATCAGGGTGGCATTGATTTTGTTAGTGAAAATTAGTTTTATTCTTCGTCCATTTACCTTTCTGGCAAATACTGCATATTTTTATACTAATGTTAAAAAGTCTTATATATCTGAATAAAAGGGGCCCAATATGCAAGTAATCATTTTTTTGCCACAAAGTTACTAATTATATTAAAATAAAAATGACGGAATGACTCATCATTCATATTAATAATTATTGTTGGTGTTTCTTAAAATTATGATTATAGCAGCTCAGCGCAAGTCAAATATCTAAAATTATAACATTATTTACAAGCAAACACATCAAATAAGCTTCTTATACAATTCATATGATATATATCAGTTGCCTTCTAGAAAAATTGATGGTTTTTCTATAAGTTATTTTGTCTAAAAAATATTTTCTTAATTATTTTCTTTCATTGTAACACTTTGGAAATTTTTAATGAATAAGGTAAAGTGTTAAATATAAAAAAGATATTGCACGTGTTTCTAAAAATAGCACGTTTAATAAGAATGAATTAATTTTTTAAATAATATCAATGATTTAATCACCCATATCGATTTTGATAAAGCGCTAGGTCATGAATGCGTCTCTCATGCAACACTATACATTATATAGATTGAATATAAGATTTAAGACACCTTATATTATTAAAAATTGAAGTCGTAATGTAAAAGTGCTTTGATAATAAAATGTTCAAGAAGTATCAACCAAAATAATTTTTTAAGAAGAACTCTCTCCCATCCTTATTACAGGATACTTTTTAAAAAGATTCTGCAACCTTAATATAAGATACATAAAAGATTAATCCCTCCTATAAAAAATATAAAGCATTTTTATAATAATTATATTAATTTTATATTTTTATATTTACCCCTATTTAATAGAGTAATAAATATAAAGTGATTTATTTAATAAGGATACTTTAAAAAAAGTAATTATCATACTTTAAAAGATTAAAATATTTTTTTTTAATATCCAACCCCTAAAAAATGCAATGGAGGGAGGGAGTATTTATTATCATTTTTTAATTTTACTAATGTTATAAATTTAATTATTTGATTTATTATATATTGTGTATCTCTTCCTTTTTATTTTTAATAAAGGTAAAGCTAAAATTTTGTTTATTAAATTATGCAAAATTTCTCAAACTTTGAAGCAATTGCGTAAAATCTCCTTATTTTAAAAATTTAAAAATTAATCTTCCTAACATTTTATTCTTTTATGACAGCCTCTCCTATTATTATTTTTTAATTATCTTATTAACAGAAGTTATCAAGTCATATTAAAAAAAATATAGTAGCTTATGTGACATTCAATATAAGCTAATAATAATTTTATAACAATTTTATTCATACTTTTCCGTTATTATTAGCTTATATTATATGCTACATAAACTATTAGGTGTCCTTTTCTAACATGAAATGATACCTTCTATTAGTAAGATAATTAAAAAATAAGGGGAGTTTGTTATATGAAAATAAAATATTGGGGAGATTATTTTTAAATTTTTAAAGATAAAGATCTTGTATAATTACTTTAAGTTTAAGAAAATTTTATATATTTCAGCCTTTTTCGTTTAAAATAAAATACTATAATTCTTTTTTTGGAATAATATCATTATTCCGTGCAAATACTGATGATGCTAGCTGTCCATGAACCACTTTTTGGCCACCATTAATAAATCCACTTTAATATGCAAATATCGCAATCTTTCTCGTCCATTGAATCCAAATTCCAGAATACATAAATGATAGTAATAGCCCATGTACCACCCACCTGCCCATATCATCCTTTTTTAAAAAAGAAGATGTGAAACTCGTTGCAGGATGATTTCGATTTGTAGACACAACTGGGGTATAGTATATAAGATCATGCACGCACGGTATATAGAGGGAGAAAATTAGAGATATAAGATATTGATAAATATCCATGGATCAGGACACGGAAGTTTCCTTTGGTGTCGTCACTGAGGCACTCAAGCGGGCCGTGGCGGTGGAGGCTCTTCTCGTTCAGGAATTTTAGTTAATTATAATAATATAGCTGTTAAAGATGAGGTCTCGGCTGGCGTACGGTGCCTCACCAACCCAGCCAATTGATAACTACTCGCCTCTATTTTGAACTCCTTTATCATTCCGCGCTACTTCAATGATTTTAATTTGTACTGCTTGTGCTTTCACTTATTACCCATTAACTAGTGCCATCCTGGACAGATGTTTCTTTACTGTCATCCAGCTTGCTTACTGCACTTTCATGGGGCCTTCTCACCACACTCGCTTCATTCATCCTCTTAACCTCTTTGCTATAAATACCCTCCTCACCTTCATCCATACCATATTCACTCTCATCTTTCATTCTTCGCTAGCAATATTAGCGAATAGCAAAGATCGCTACTGCGACACTTTTCAATATGGGTTCTTCTACTGTATCGATCATGCTTCTTGTTAGCTCTCTCATGGTTGTCGCCCTTGCTGGTAATTTGAACCAAGAGTTTGACATAACGTGGGGGGATGGTCGAGGCAAGATGATCAACAATGGCGAGCTTCTCACTCTCTCGCTCGACAAGGCATCAGGCTCAGGTTTTCAATCCAAGAATGAGTATCTCTTCGGCAAGATCGACATGCAGCTCAAGCTCGTCCCTGGAAACTCTGCTGGCACTGTCACTGCCTATTATGTAAGCTTTTTTTTGGGTTAGTGCAGAGTAATCTTTTAAGGGATCACCCATTATGACCTAACAAAATCTATGTCTTTATTGGCACTTGCAGTTATCTTCAAAAGGATCAACTTGGGATGAGATAGACTTTGAATTTCTGGGAAACCTGAGCGGTGATCCCTATATTCTTCACACCAACGTGTTCAGCCAGGGAAAAGGAAACAGAGAGCAACAGTTCTATCTCTGGTTTGACCCAACCGCAGATTTCCACACTTACTCTATCCTCTGGAACCCCCAAAGGATCATGTAAAGCTCTTATTCTCGATTCAATTATTTCTTGTGTTTCTCTTCTGTCCTTTTAATCCTGCGTGGACTGATAAATCAATTTGATTCAGATTCTCAGTGGATGGAACTCCCATTAGAGAGTTCAAGAACTCGGAGTCTATTGGTGTCCCATTCCCAAAGAACCAGCCAATGAGGATATACTCAAGCCTGTGGAATGCAGATGACTGGGCAACAAGAGGTGGCCTCGTGAAGACGGATTGGAGTCAAGCTCCCTTCACTGCTTCCTACAGAAACTTCAAAGCTGATGCTTGCGTCTGGTCTTCTGGCAAATCGTCTTGTCCTTCAACTTCATCCGCCACGAGTTCCTCGTGGCTCTCACAAGAGCTGGACACTACTTCTCAAGAGAGGCTCAGATGGGTTCAGAAAAATTATATGATCTACAATTACTGCACAGACGTTAAGAGGTTTCCTCAGGGCCTTCCGCCAGAATGCAAAGCCTCTTAATAACGTACCAAGCCATGCGTTAAATTTATGAGCTTTTTGTGTATTTGACATCGCTATATATTTAGGGTCATTCTTTGTGATGTAATTAATTTTTTTGATTACGGAAATCGGAATATATATATATATATATATATACTGCTTTCTCCTTCCCATTGTTTGTGTTATAAATTCCGCATGCAATTTTTCTGTTATGAACATGTTAGGAAAGCAACCTATATTTCACCGCGGTTCAAAAGGTAGGGAGGTAAAATCAAACCGAAGGCAATTCTATTACTATACCAGGAACCCATGATGACTATGGCACAAACAGGATTCAGATAAGCTACTAGTTTTTCACAGTCTCTACTAACTCCTAAGATAAAGCAAATTAAAAACGCTAAATCCAACTGGTTCACGAATACAGTAGTACGTAGTTTTTTTTTTTTTTTTAAGACGTCATCATCAATTGCATATTTAATGCGCAATAGTCAACATGAAAGGCACGTCTTTTACGACGCGTTAGTGTGGGTGTATATATACGTTCCTTAATTAACCTAATAGTATGATCTAAGAAACTTAATGACGTACCATATCTGACCGCTTCTCAGAAAGAATTAACCTTAATTCACCTAGATTTTCACTGGCCTTCAAAATATCATTTGAATCCAAAGTTTATACAAAGCTTCAA